TTGTGTCATTCTTTTCTAACATTAACTTGAATAGGCAAATAATTGTATAATTCTAAAATATTATATATATATATATATTTATATTAAAATTATTAAATTTTTAATGGGAGACACTAAAATCGCACAATTATGATATTTGAGAGACTAAAATTGTTCAATTAAAAATTGAAGGATCGAAATCACACAATTGCAATCCTTAGGGACTAAAATTACTCAATTAAAATTTTGGGGATCAAAATTGCACAATTGTAATACTTGAGGGATCAAAAATGTAATTAAGCCTAAATTTTTTTTAGCATAGTTAAAATTATTACGATTAGATATTATTTAATCTACTAAAAAATAAAGTGAAAATATTAAAATTTATCTCATAATGTAATTAAAATATTATTATGAAAATATCATAAATAGAGTTTTAAAATTTTATAATATAATTAAATATTATATATGTATATATTTCCATTTTCGCTTACTGAGAATATTGCAATAAAAATTTTAAAATATTACAATTATGTAAAAATATCATAGTTTTAAAAACCGGACAGGTCATCGAACCGGATAAGGTATTGGGTCAATGGGTCAAAGGTTAAACCGGTGGGTCACTAGTTGAACCGCATGACTTGATTTCTATTTACTTTTATTAAAAAAATATTCATATTAAATATATTTTATACTTATAAATTTTAATAAATTCATATCTTATTTTAAATTTCAATTTTTTGATCTTATTTAAAATTAGTTTTATTTTTATTTTTGTAAAAAAATACATAAAAAAATACATGTTAAATTGTATATTAATACAAATTAAAAATATAAATAATATGTACATATATAATATGCTTGCAATTGATATCACAAAATAATATATTTAATATCTACATAGATATTATATTATTAAATATATAATTTAAAATTAATAATATACTATAAAAGTTATTTAAGTTGTATATATTACAAACAAATACATTAGAACAAGTAGTCATTGTTATATTTAATAAGACTCTTTGCTCTTCCATTAAAAGATTCAATTTTCATTATTATTTTTGTGGTTTATGGTCCCTTAAATTTTTTTTAAAAAGAATAAGAAAAAAAAGTGGTTGAACCGGTTTGACCCATCGGTTCACCGGTTGAATCGGAAAATTGACCGGTTCAATCCGGTTTGAAACGGGTCGACTACATAATCGATCCAACTTAAGATTCGGACTGGCTAGACCACTAGTTCCCGGCCCAACCGGTCCGACCGGCCGGTTCGATCTGGGTTTTAAATCACTGAAAAATATTATACTTAATCTCTATTTATTTTAAAATATGATAACTAGAAATTTAAATTATTATTTTTAAGAATAAAATAATAATAATAATAATAATAATAATAATAATAAAACTGTGAATTCTAAAATTATGTAATATTATAATTAGACATTATATTAAAAATTTGGAATGTTACACATACAATCAATCAGAATTTTACCTCCATTGATTGTCTTCATAAACAATGTATGCTAGCTTATCAGCTTATGAGGACATTTATTGAAACTTTTTTTTTTGATGAAATATAACTATTTGACTATACCATGCCCGTGAAGTCTGTTTGAGCTAATATAGTACCCTTTTTAGACAATACACCTTGGATTGATTCCATTTCTGTTCATAACCAAGTGGCTAGTTAACAAAAACTTCTTTCTTAATATATCCTTGTAGAAAAGATGATTTGATGTCAAGTTAGTAGATCTTCCAACCCATTTGTGCAGAAAGGGAAATAATCACCCGTATTTTATCCAATCGAGCCACTGGTGCAAAATTTTTAGAAAAATCCACTACATATTGTTAATTATATCCCCTAGCAACAAGTCAAGCCTTACACTTGTTCACCTCCCTTTCTTCATTTAGTTTTTGCCTTGAAAATCCACTTTACTCCAATAGTTTTTCCTCCCGCTGGAAAATCAATTTGTTCCCACATATTCTTGACAACATCATCACAAGTAATGGGATCACCATTATAAGTCAAATTAGATAATCCAGGTTCATTCTTTGTTCATCTGAGAGACCTTCACTGGATACATAATCTCTCATCTAAATTAGTGCCCTTAGAGTTTGACTCTCTTGAATTACACTACATTCATTTGTAGTATCCCTTAATCTAACGAGTCATTATCATCATATTCATTATGTCTTGTATCTTCATTGGGGGTGGATTCTTCTTTATCCCTTTCATCTACTACAATTGTTTCTTCATCTATTTCATATTGAAGATCAATTAATATAGTCTACCCATGACTATCATCCCAATCCCAATCCCACTGTTGATATTTCTCAAAAACCACATCTCAACTTCTAATAATTTTCCATGAAATGGGATCAAACAATCTATAAGCTTTGGATTCTTTACTTATCCCCAACAATATGCATTTGAGGTTTTTATCATCAAGCTTGACATTTTTACTATCAGGTACATGCACATGACATAAGGATCCAAAGACTCTAAAGTGTTTCACCGATGGCTTTTGCCCACTCCAAGATTTTTCAGGTGTTTTGTTTTTCACCGCAAAGGTTGGACTTTGATTCAACACATGCATTACCCAATTCAATGTTTCTGGCCAAAATCTCTTTGGAATTTGCTTATCTAACAACATGCACCTAACCATATTCATGATAGTTTTATTCTTTCTTTCGGCAATGTTGTTTTGTTCATGATAGTTTTATTCTTTCTTTCCACCATCCCTTGAAAAGTTGAGTGCATGTAATTGCATTTCTCTAGATACAGATATCACTCAACGACTAGTGTTACAACACATGTTACAAAGTCGCATACCATACTTATGAACACACTACTATCTCAACTGTTATGACGAAGAATATTTCTTTCCAGGAGATCATGTTGTTGGGATGCAAGCAAAGTCCCACATCGTTCAAACAAGAGGATGGACATGAGTTTATATACACAAAATTGTCTCCATTGGTTGAGAGGCCTTTTGAGTGATGCCCAAAAGCAAAACCGTGAGGGCTTGGGCCCAAAGCGGACAATATCTCACTAATGTTAAGACATGTGTATATGTGTGGTAACCCCCCTTGGTGCTCAACAAGTGGTATCAGAGCTGATGGTCTGATCAGGTGACCGGCTCGACGAGTATGATAGTTGGCAAGTGGATCTAATTTTGGGATCCCTTGTGTCGAAAGTCTTCCTAACGGTGGGTCCATGTGGAAGAGAGGCTTCCTGGTAACATGGAGGGTTAGGGAGGTCATAATGGAGCGGCAGTGCAAGCACTTAGAGCGTGAGTGAGCTCTATGGGCCACCATCAAATAATACTCGTAATTTCCGCTGCAGGGGAGGGGGAAAATCGTGGTCCTTTGTTTGAGGGGAAGATTGTTGGGATGCAAGCAAAGTCCCACATCGTTTAAACAAGAGGATGAACATGAGTTTATATACACAAAATTGTCTCCATTATGACTGCCCATAGGTGATAATTCTCACCATCAAATGCTGATAGTGTTTGGACTGAATAGTCAGATTGCATTTTCAATTCTCAATATAAGTGTTTAGGTGTTTAGTGGAATTCTCAACCTTACCAGGTCCCTCAAGAACAAAATAAGCTCTTGATACCAATTGTAGGAATTTAGAAAAACTAGAAGGCTGAAACTCATGTTGTGACACCCTTACTACCCCAACACATATATAATATATTGCATTTCACAAAAAGGGTATCTAAGTTATGTTATGGTAGTGCATTCAGAATAGGGACCTAAGCCCAGAACGAATTGAATTATAAGTGACCAATGGCCATAATTAGTACCAGATGTTTGAACATAGCTATTAAAGAGACAAGTTGCCTCTGCATTACAATGCAACACAAAGGAGTGAAAAAGAGATTGATCCAGACCTTTATGATTTTCCTGATAATGTCCATAAATGACTTGTTTTTGGTAAAATATGGATATTACTATATCTAAATTCTGATGCATGGTATATATCAGTATTCCAATGCATTTCACCTTCTAAATCAAAATAGACATGTTTTCGAACTTTTTCTTTTAAACTCCGTGTCTGTTTCTGCACGAATCCCACGAATCCCAGCAACCACTTGTTATGATTTTACATATTGATTGATGCATATATATAGCCATTTGCAACACCAAAGCAAATCACGAGTAAAACTTCATTACTTTTGTAATTGGCCATTAGTATTAGTTAATCATAGTTATTATGTTATGGTAGTGCATTCAGAATAGGGACCTAAGCCCAGAACGAATTGAATTATAAGTGACCAATGGCCATAATTAGTACCAGATGTTTGAACATAGCTATTAAAGAGACAAGTTGCCTCTGCATTACAATGCAACACAAAGGAGTGAAAAAGAGATTGATCCAGACCTTTATGATTTTCCTGATAATGTCCATAAATGACTTGTTTTTGGTAAAATATGGATATTACTATATCTAAATTCTGATGCATGGTATATATCAGTATTCCAATGCATTTCACCTTCTAAATCAAAATAGACATGTTTTCGAACTTTTTCTTTTAAACTCCGTGTCTGTTTCTGCACGAATCCCACGAATCCCAGCAACCACTTGTTATGATTTTACATATTGATTGATGCATATATATAGCCATTTGCAACACCAAAGCAAATCACGAGTAAAACTTCATTACTTTTGTAATTGGCCATTAGTATTAGTTAATCATAGTTAATCATCACTAGATAACTAAGATTGATCTCAGTGACATGAAGGCACTCGTTTGTTACAACTTGATTCTTTGTAAGATGTAGTTTAGTTCACTTCCCATCAAGCGTTAACTTGACGATTGAAAAACGAAACAACATCATTATACACCAAGTCCTTGGCATTGAACCCCATAATGTAGTCAGCATGAGCATATTCCTGGATGAACTGAACACTACGCTTATCCTCATCATGGTTCTTGAGTATATCAAGCAAATTCTCAACATCACGAACATCTGAAAGTGCATCTCTGCCACCATAGCTAATGAAGAGAGGGAGGTCATGAGGGATATTGGAAAGGTTGTAGATTGGAGGGAATATTTCTCCATAATGCATGATGTTATAGTCTGGTCTCACATAATTAAATTTTGCCAACACCCCATGTCTCACAGCTGCAAAGTGCATGGTCATAACATTATAACATAAGCTTCCTTGGTTAGTGACAAAAGCAACTGAATTCACTACACAAGTAACGAGTTAAGTAGGTAGATGGGAAAATCTTACTCTGAGCCAAGTGCACCATGTTCTTTGTTGATGTTGACTGAGGCTCATTCATCAAGAATAGATCAACAGTTGAAGAATTAAGACAGCAATTTTTACCTGAATAGGAAATCACATTTCAATAATAGGCACAGTCAGAAAACTTTGATATTTTATTTTATAATTTAAATAGTTTAATTGAGCCAAAGACTTATACCAGTTAATGCCGTCAACAAGTTATAGCAGTCTATCCCAGGGTGATTGCAGAGAGACTTGAGAAAGGCTTCAACAGGTAACCTGTGCAATGCAGTACTTTAGAGAGCATTGAATTGTACTATATCACATGGTAAAACACTGTTTGACTCCCTGAAAATACATGTCGCTGATACTTTAGTTTCTGAAAGTGAGAAAATTAAAAAAAAAAAAAAAAAAAGAGATTGATCCAGACCTTTATGATTTTCCTGATAATGTCCATAAATGACTTGTTTTTGGTAAAATATGGATATTACTATATCTAAATTCTGATGCATGGTATATATCAGTATTCCAACTTTTCAAATTTTGGGCCTTTAACTTATTCCAGAACGACCCGTTTCACTTTTAAAACGGCCCGTTCTGGGCAACGAATTGGGCCTACGGCCTATTGAAAATTGGGCTGTTACACATGTAATTTTATTCATACTGCAACCTTTAAATACACAAAACATAATTGAAAACTGATACAAATTCTGCTCATAAACATAAAACTAAATGAAAAATGTAAATACTCATAAAAGTGTAACAACACCTATAATTTCTATAATTAAAACTGTAGGAATTCTAATAATGCTCCATTAATCTAAAATAAACTCAAATAATAGATGCTGATTTATATTCTCAACACATGTAACCAAAGAGTGTGTTTCGCACAACATAGAGTTCAATAAGTGTTCATTATCTCCCAACACTTGGATTATGTGGTTTCATTTATTGCATCGTTCTTTCTAAGGGACCACTCTTGGATTGTGATGTTTCGTGTTCTGTTTATCAAGATGGCATAAGGGTTGGCCGGATCCAAAGGTTGTTTGGAGTACGAAAATTTAATTTCAGATCATGTGGTATTTTTGTATCATGACATGAGTGAATTTTACAGAACAAGTGAAGTGTATGATGATTTCAGCAACATGACATTTATATTTGGAGACAATGCAGAGAGCATAAAAGAGTATGGTGTCTTCCCAATATATGCCTCTGAGTCAGGGTTAAAGGTGTTTGGTAGTAGCAAAATGGAAATTTTTTAATATTTGAAATGAGTCACAACCAAAACAATCGGAGTTGGAATTGGAGGATTTCACCATAAATGATAATTGCCTGTGATTACTTCATTGGTACAAAACTTCACCCATTCCTGATTCCTTGATTGTAGGCTCTTTGTTTGTTGGGTTTTTTTTATATAATGAAATTAGTCTTTCAAATATAGAAACTATCAGTTAGAAATACCTTTGATTCTAGATAAAGCCTAGTTTTTCGCAATAAGATTATGATATAATTAATAATTATGTTGAACAAGTTTTCTTTCGAAAGAATATTGATGGGAAGTGAGCACTTGTTTGTTCATAGAACCAAAGCAGTGCTAAAAAATCATTATTGTTTTGTCGATCATTTTCATGCTTTGATTGTGCATTTATTTAAATAACTAGATATAGACATGTCTGGTGCTGGTGGTGCTGATAAAAAGGTAAATTATTTAAATTTGAGGTGATCGAAAATTTTGTTGAAATATATTATTTTATTAATTAATGTGATAGTTCTAAATGTGATTATTTTTGCATAAGCCAACAAAATTGAAGAGAGTATGAAGGGTATTTCAAGTTCAACCACATAACGAAGCTGATAGGATTTCAATATCTTTTATGCATAGCTTGATTTCTCGATAGTGTTGTTGTTGGACTTTAGTTCTCACTTGATTTAGCATAGTAGTTTGATTAAGGGGGAGAAGTTGAAGAAATTAAATTTTGATGCTGCCTTAATTTGCAAGATTTCTAGTCAATTTTATTACATCATAATAGAATTATTTTTATTGTGAGGATTGTTGTCATTAATGGGATTGTGGATCTTGTTAAATTGTTCTCATTGTCTTGGATCATTTCTAAAGAAGGTGGTCTATTTCTTTGTGTGATTGGTCCTTTTACCCTTTCAGGTATGGAAAACTTACTTAAGAATACTAGACTGAAAAGATGTTTATTTAAGGTTTCTTGTTTATAAGCGACTCCTTTTAATCAACTTGTTTTTTTAATAAAAAGTTGCTCAATACAATAAAAAGAACTAGTACAAGTTAAAATTCATGTTTTATCTAACATGTTTCGAATCACATGATAGGTCAATGTTACTATGTTTTGAGTCTGCTAAAGATTGTTTGCTACATGCAAACTTAGTGTTGAGAGAAAAGAGCATTCTAACTGGAGTTGCCGAAAGGAAAGCCAATCAACATAAAGCAAAATGTAGGAATGAATTCATCCAAATGGGTATGGTATTGTTTCAACAGTATACTTCCTATCTTATAGTTTAGACTTATCCTTGATGGAACCTAATTATTATGATAATTATATTCATTCAAATTATAGGATTATATAATATTAATGTTAACCTTTCTGTCTTCTTTGATCATGGTGATGTCGATATGGCTTGCTCATTTTCATAACTTAAAAATTAAGTTTATTTGCTTGTCGAAATGGATGGTTTGTAGAATTTATTTATTTATTTTTTTTTTTCTGGGAAGCTTTAGCAACATTTATGCAATAAGGATTCTGGAGGTGCTTTCTAATTATGTCTCTTGCTTTTGTGTAGATCTATATCTCAAGTAACATTTTAATGTTGAAACTCTAGTTTTGAGGGGTTGGGATTTTAAGTCAACATACTATTGGGCAAGATGGTTGCCTCTGATTCTTGAGTTTTTTCTTCTGTTTTAATTTTCAATTCTTTGTAATCAAAACTCTCTAGAATTTTACATGGAGATTTTCCTGCTAGTGTTTTTTTTTTTTTTTTAAATCCGTAGGAAATTTTCTATAGACTTTGATTTTTCATAGATATTGTTAAGTTGTGAATTTTAAATTGACAAAAAAACATTTAAATATTTTTTTAGTCGCTATAAAATATATGATTTTGATTTTGGTCCCTCTAAAATTTTTTCTTTGTTTTTCATCTTTCTAAAATTTATGAACATTGTTTTTATCCTTATAAAATAAGTAAATTTTGATTTTGATCCTTGTAAAATATTTTTTTTTAGTTTTCATCCCTCTAAACTTTAAACTAACTATTTTTAATTCCTAATGATTATTTTAAGGTGGATAAATAACATTTATTTTAAAGATTTGTAAATTTTTTTTAGAGGTGTTAAACAATAATATAATATCAATAATGGTTGTAGATAAAACTTAAGATAGTTACTTAACTTTTTAATAAATAAAAAGTAGTTAAAAAATGATTACATAAAAATAGGAACCAAAAACAACAATTTTAATTTTATAGGAATGAAAAACATAGAAAAAAAATTACAAGGACTAAAATCAAAATTTGCTAATTTTATAGGGACCAAAAATATATTTAAGCCAAAAACAAATTATGCCAAAAAAAAAAATTCCTTAAGAAATTTTGTAGGTAACTGCTATAGGTAACTTTGTTGCGTATTTTAAATCCGCAACAATTTTGCTAGTAAATCCATAGATCAATTTTTAAATATGCTAATATATTTATATAATTTTATTATGTTAGTCACTTTGTTGTAAATAAAATTATTAATCTTTATTATAATAAAAAGAATAAAGTCTGTAATTTTTTTTCCCGCTCAAAATAAGGATACTTATGTAATTTTATCTTATCATAATTATTCTGAATTTTATTATTTTATTATTTTAATAAATTCTGAACATAAGAAAAATCCTTCCTCTTTCTCTTTGCTTTATACAAAAGAAAAATTCTTCCTCTTCCTCTCTGCTTTATACGTTTCCCATCAAATTGCTTGCATTTTGTCTTCCACTCAGAGAAGCAATTATGAATATCTATTTCCTATGTATTGGTTGCAACTTTTCAATGCCAATTGATCTCAACTATCCTCTAATTTTTAAAGCATTTTTCTTTTCAAAATTTCATTCTGATTGTCCAGTTCCATCATACTCCCTATTTCTAAAAGTACTCTCTCAATATATACATTGTCCACTTTTTGATTTGGGTACTTTTGTACTTCTAATTTGAGGATTCACACTTTCTCTATCAATCATAGGAAAATCATTTTTAGGTAAGCTTGTATGAAGTTTTAATTTTAAAGGTTGGTTGTTTCAATGTTGATGTATAGTGAACATATTATTAAAAGTTTTATCCTTTTTACTTTCATCTTCTTTTTAAAGGACATGGTTTAGAGGTTTACATTACTAAAGGACATTGCAGCGGGGAGAATTGACTAGAAGATAAGAGTTCGTATAATAAGATTGTGGAGGCTACCAGAGTTTAAGAATCCATTGCAAACAAATTCCTTAGAGATGATTTTGGTGGATGAAGAGGTTTTTTTTCCCATAAATTATAACGTACAGTTATAAATTTCATTTTTGAATAGTGTAGTTTTTGTTTTTGCTTTTGTTTGAAATTTTCATCTTCACCAAAAAAAATATATGATTAGTGAAGATATTATTAAAATTTTTATCCTTTTTTACTTTCATCTTCTTTTTAAAAGACATGGCTCAGAGGTTTACATTACTAAAGGACATTACAGCGAGGAGAATTAACTAGAAGATAAGAGTTCGCATAATAAGATAGTTGAGGCTGCTAGAGTTTAAGAATCCATTGCAAACAAATTCCTTGGAGATGATTTTGGTGGATGAAGAGATTTTTTTTCTCATAAATTATAATAGTTATAAATTTCATTGTTGGATAGTGTAGTTTTTGTTTTTGTTTCTATTTGAAATTTTCATCTTCACCAGAAAAAATATGATTAGTGAAGATATTATTAAAAGTTTTTTCCTTTTTACTTTCATCTTCTTTTTAAAGGACATGACTGAGAGGTTTACATTACTAAAGGACATTGCAGCGGGGAGAATTGACTAGAAGATAAGAGTTCGTATAATAAGATTGTGGAGGCTGCCATAGTTTAAAATCCATTGCAAACAAATTTCTTGGAGATGATTTTGGTGGATGAAGAAGTTTTTTTTTCTTCCATTAATTATAACAGTTATAACTTTCATTGTTGGATAGTGTAGTTTTTGTTTTTTCTTTTGTTTAAAATTTTCATTTTCACCAAAAAAAATATGATTAGTGAAGATATTATTAAAAGTTTTTGTTGGGATGCAAGCAAAATCCCACATCGTTCAAACAAGAGGATGGTCATGGGTTTATATACACACAACTTTCTTCATTGGTTGAGCGGCCTTTTGGGTGATGTCCAAAAGCAAATTCGTGAGGGCTTGGGCCCAAAGCGAACAATATCTCACCAATGTGGAGAGATGTGTATATGTGTGGAAACCCCCCTTGATGCACAACAAGTGGTATTAGAGTCGATGGTCTGATCAGGTGACCGGCT